TTAATGTCATTCATAAGCATCTAAAATCACTTGATTTGTGAAGATGATTGGATTGATATATTTAATAAAACCAGCAAAGCACATATCAGTCGATCATACTCTTCAAATGGTTCAAATGGTTGTGGACGGAATAGAAGAAGCTTTCGCTTAACAGGCTTCCGTGTCTAGTAGCAGGGGATCACCAAATCCTCCAGGCAGGAACCTAGGTATGTTAACAATAAAAGATGAAAAGAAATTGGTAAATCATAGTATGATACTGTCTTTGGTCCTTAAGAATAGATCAAGTTGCCTCTTGAAGGACTCCTGAGAAGTCGCTTGGACTAGCTCAGCGGGCAGCGAATTCCAGCTTTTGACAACTCTTAAGGAGTTGAAGTTGTGTCTACATCCCGTCTTGCTATATTGAGTTTCCAGTTTCTGGGTGTTACCCCCTACGTTATTATTCGAACTAAGCTTGAGTAGGTGTTTAAGAGGATGTCCAGAAGTGTTAAGAATACTATAAGCCATTAATAAATCACCTCTAAGACGCCTATACTCTAATGGGTAAAGGTCTAGTGAATGGAGGCGTTCTTCGTAAGGCTTAGATTTGAGTCCGCGAACTGATTTCGTGGCTCGCCGTTGGATACGCTCCAAAGTGATCTTGTCCTTTTGGAGTGAGGGGGTGAGTACTATATTTCCGTACTCTAAATGGGGACGGATAAAACGATTGAAGATTGTATGGAAAGTTCTTCCGTCAAACTGGCCAAAAATGCGCTTCAATGTTACCAGTGCAAGGTTAGCTCGGAAGGCATTTTTGTCACAATTAGCGTAAGACTTTAAATCATGGGGCACCAGGACTCCTAAATCTTTTTCGACTTGGGATACTACTAGAGAGAAGTTTCCTAAGTTGTAACTGTAGTCTGCGACATGTCGCAGATGGACTACTTTACACTTTGAAGTGTTAAAGGTAAGTCCGTTATCGTCTGCCCAACTTTGAAGTCGAGTCAGATCCTCCTGAAGTGCCTGTATATCGTCTTGGTTGCGTATCTCTCTCCAAAGTTTCACGTCATCGGCAAAAAGTAGTAAGTCTGACGTTACCTGTTGAGGAAGATCGTTTATGTAGATCAAGAAGAGGAGAGGCCCTAATACTGAGCCCTGGGGAACCCCACTAGGACATTCCATAGCCTGAGATAAAGTGAAATTAACCCTAACCTTAAAGTGTCGATTTTCTAGGTATGAAGTAAGCCAATCGATTAGAGGTGGTTTGATACCTAGTCGTTTGAGCTTGTTGATAAGACACAAGTGGTTAACTTTATCAAAAGCTTTTGAGAAGTCAAGGTATATGATATCAACCTTTCCCTTGCGATCGAGGATGCTTGTCCATCTGTCTACCGCAGTCAGCAGGTTGGTTATACAAGAGTAACCCTTCCTGAAACCATGCTGTTGGGGTGAGAAGAAGTTTAAGGACAGTAGATAATCGTTTAAACCATCGCATATCAGGGACTCCATGAGTTTTGAAATTAATGACAGAAGAGCCACAGGCCGATAACTTGAAGGTTCATTGCGTCGACCCCCTTTGAAAATTGGTGTGATGTGAGCCAACTTCCAATTTTCCGGTAATTTGCCTTGGCTTAGCGAGTGTGAAAACATCACGCTAAGCGGCGTTGCCAGGATTGAGGCTGCCTCCTTCAGTATGGCAGAATGAACCATATCCGGGCCAGGAGAAGTATCTAGTCTTAAGTGCTGCAGTTTCCGGAACACCAAGTCAGCGCTTAGGTCCACTTCGGAAAGCCCTGTGGAATTACAGGTGAAACTGTCGTCAATAGAGTTGATGTCAGCCGGCTGAAATGTCTGGGAGTATTGTTCAGCCAGAAGGTTAGCGGTGTCGCCATCGTTGTTGGTCGGGCCGTTAAGACCTTCCAGTTGGGGAACTCCAGTTTGGCTTGATGAACAGAGGCTACATAACGGAATAGGCTTTTAGAATTGGAGGCAAATTTGTCCATAAGCTTTGTCTGGTACTGAAGCCAATCTTCCCTTATAGCCTTCGTGAATATGTTCCTGATGTGTTTATATTGCTTGTACGCTCCGTCGTTGTCAGTTCGTTTGTATTCCACCTAACAGTGCCTTTTACGGCTTAGCAAGCGGAAGGTACTCTTCTTGATTATTGTGGGTGGCTTGCAACTTTTGGGAACCGTTTGGGGAACTAAATGGTTTGTAGCACATAAGAGCGTGTGCAGTAAGAAGTTCCAGTGACCGTCCACATCGAGTTGGGGGTGAACATCCCAAACCACCTGTTGTAAATAGTCGTGAAGAGCTGGCACATTCAGCCGTTTAAAATTCCAACGCAAGTTATTGTTGGGATACCTTAGCTTAGTTTTGGTGACAAAACTGAAGGCTATGACGGCATGATCGCTCTTTCCCAGAGGAGCCAAGATTGAGAGGTTGTCAACTAGGAATTCTTCGTTTGTGAATACACAGTCTAACCGCGATGGTGTCTGACTGTTTCTCCAACGAGTTGCCGACCTCACATTTTCATATAAGCCCAAGTCATCAATGAGGTTGAAGAACCGAGCTTCAATTGAGTTGTCACCTCCAGTATACGTGTGTTCCACGAAGTTGACTCTAGGAAGGTTAAAGTCCCCTAGAATCAGGATATGTGTGAAACCGAGACGGGTAGAGCGGGATAGACCATCCAGCATACGACTATCGTACTCGATGTCAGCAGTTGGCTTCCTGTAAATGACACCGACTAGACACCTCGAAGTGCTAGACAATCTTACAGAGCACCAAATGGATTCCTCAAGATTGTTAAACTCGAGGTTGTGAACTTGGTGCACCTCCAAGCAAGAGCTTATGTAAATGGCTACTCCACCCCCAATCCCTGTTGTTCTGTCGTTGCGGAACAAAGTCATCCCTGGTAATGCTAACTCTTGGTCCGAGAACTGAGAAGATATCCAGGTTTCAGATATTCCTATCAGGTGGGCCTTATTAGCGTTGCAAAGTTCACGTAATTCGTCCAGTTTGTTTGGTAGACTCGAGGCGTTCGTGTATAAGCAGTTTATGCTTTCAATTTGGAACGCATGAGCTTCGTCCTGTTTTTCTGTATGAGCCTTATGTGAATGGACAGGTAGCCCACCCATGTGAGGTTTACCGAGGTGGTAGGCCCTGTCCTTTACACGTTTTTTTTATCGTTTAGACAATCCACAAGTAGAATGGTCAGCTCCAACTTGCCTTTGTACTTGGTCCTGGCTTCGTATGGCCTGTCCGGGTGCATGTGGATTCCAGGTGGCAATCGACGTCTGTTGGCACGAAATGCTTCCAGAACTGCAGCCGCCATGTGGGAAGATGGGAAGGTTATCTTCATTAGACGAGGTCTAAGATCACCATCCTTCTTGGCTAATCTCGTCACATGCTGAGTCAGTATGTGTTTGAGCCTCAAGGACTGTTTGATGAATTTCCATTCCCTGATGTCAGAATTTGATTGAGTAGGGTCTGTATTCTCCGGTATACCTTGCACAATTATGTTTCTTCCGCGGAAAAACTTCTCACGAGATTCTTTAGGGATGTTACGTATGATATTGCGCTCAGAGAACGGTATATCGGGCAATATTCTTACGTTACCATCTGATTTCAGCAAGTGACTTGCTAGTAAGACGTCCTCAACATCAGTAGCATTCTTAAACGATACTCGGAGAAGCCTTGGGTGATTTAGATGCTTAGAGTCCTTTCCTCTAGAGAGCCGGGTGACCATCAAAGGCTCTATTCAAGGAAGTTCTAGCTTCTTGTTCAATTCACCCCAAAGCATCCTGTCGTTTTTGTCCTGCAGACTGATAGGAAGGTCAGGATTATCAACGAGGTTCATGATAATGAGAGAGTCGTCACGAACTGTTGTTAATTTACTAGGTTTCACGGCGGGTTCGTGTTTAATGACTTGCTGTTTGGAGGTCAGTGTGCGTTTATGAGGCTTGAGCTCTTTTTTGACCGGACGAACAGTCTTGGGAGTAGACTGTGCTACCAAATCACCAGTTAATTTCCGTACAGCAACACTTGGGTTGCTGGGCTTGGGCGGTGATGCCTGGTTCTTTTGGGCTCTCTTAACGTGGGTCGAATCACTTATAGGGTTTTTGGGAACCACTGTTGTGTTCAGGGACCCTGAGCTGGGAGACCCGAGTTTGCTTAGGGAGTCTAATACCTTCGACGTAATGATGGTGCTGAGCCTCGACACGTCATCATTAGTGTTGATGGATGTTCCATCGATGGTATACCTATCGACAGCCCTGTTTTTGTGTCCGTCGCACGCTCTTGTTTGTCTACCGGTTTTCGTACTGTCGTTGTCCAAGTTAACTGACAACTTGTTCCGAAGACCTGTTAGTAGGACAATGATGTTACTCAGCAAAACTACAGCATCCGTGCTGCACGTGACACATACCCATTTTTGGTCTGACTTGCTGAGTGTGTTGTAAGCAGTTGATGTCAGATCTGTGCATGCTTCGTGGAATCAACCTTTGCAGTTGTCGCACTGCATGCCAGTTGCAACAGCAAAACGGCATCCCGGACGTTTGCATGAGTTTTTCATGACTATGTTGAAGCAAACTATGTTATAGATGCTTGCAAGAGCCTAAGACCTTTAAAAAACACTAAAAAGCACACTGAAAACGGACAAAAATGGATAAAACGAGTGTTATAAACTGAAACTAGCTTATACGTGAAAAACAAAAACAAACCGAATAGTAAACTGAGGCAAAACCACAGGTAACTATTAAATATGATGAAACTCAAAAAAAAAGTAATCTACCGAACGTATAGCTCAGGATAGATTCTTTAGAACTGAAATGGTACTTTTGTTGCGTAAGAACACAGCAAAAGTTTGATAAATGCAAATCACGTTAGTACTAAACTTCCCGTTCGAAAAGCGCGCGTTAAGATCTGGCCCACTATGTGAAATGTTTTATAATCCTTAACTCATCTCAAGCGCAATATGGTAATAATAGATAAATATTGTTTGTTTTTACTCATTAACATTTGGCACAAATTCTAAAAAATAACGTTACACATAAGTACGAACTCTGTAACTAACTTTGTCTTCGGCTTTGATTGTCGTTGTGCCCTTTTCTGTATCTTAGGCTGTACTTAACTACTTATATTCACACGTTTTTGTATTGTATCTATTGATTTGTTGGTAAACGTTGTGTTTGTATTTACTTTGATCTAATAGACCATACCACATTTCTTAATTTCTGCTTACAAAAGTCAACACATTCCTGTCCATTCTTTTCTTCCCGACCCATCTTCCAAGGCAATAGGAACTAATCAGTGGCAGATGGATACATGTAAGTCATAGATTTAATGGTTTTTTCATTCGATCGTTGGTTATTATTAATTCAACTAAACTTGTCTTCATGACATTTGGACAATCGATCGTCACCATCTGACAGTCGTTAGAACGTCTGTCGTGTTTTTTAATCACAACCGACTAGAAGTCATAGTAAGCTATAACAAATAAAACGGCGAGACTATAATTTGTGGACGATTCAATCAAAATAAGATAATAGTTCTCGAATCTTAACGCGAAAGCCTTTCATCCAGTTGGTTAAATAAATTTCTGGCATTATAGCTGATGTCAGTTCGTGATGAAAACCCCATATACAATTCCTAAGGCAAATTACGACAATTATTGCGAACTAGATAAAAGCACCAGTGGTAGGACTATATTTTATGGACGATCTTTCAACGGATTTTTAGGTGACTTTGAAACTATTAGACAATCAGAAGAGAGTTAGTATAAAGTAAAAGCATTATAAAAAACGTATGAATTACGGCGGATATTCTTCTTTCAAATGAATTAAAAACTTGTTAAGGTTAGATAAAGGTTCAGATGTCCTGAAATCATAGTGCATAGGTTTAGGGTTAGTGTGCGCAAACCCAAGTCTATGGAGGCATCTAAACTGTTTCCAATCATCAGTATATATCGTACTGCCAGGCTGCATGTACTGCAACATCTGAAAAAACCGCAGCCAATGTTACTGGTGACTTCATAATCCAATCTGCAACAATTAACATGATTTGCCTTAGTCTGAGTCGTGATCAAGCGAAGAAAGTGCCAGTTCGAGATTTTATCCTCTAACATATAGTACAACGAAATATAATGTCATCACGGTGGTCTGCACATCGTGCTTTAGTCATTTGACTGCCGCAGTCACATACAGGAACTTCTTAATAGTCCCGTCTGTTGTAGTCGCTCAACAATAACCTCTTCTCTAAAATCTGCTGTAAAACGATCGAATGTGAGCATCTCGTATTGAACTTAGCGCCGTGACCTTGAAATTCCTCAAACGCTTCTGATTGACTCGTCCACAAATTAGAGTCTTACCGCACCAATAACACTGGTTGCAGCCAGGTACTACAATATATGCGGATGTTTGGAGAGCGTACAGACCTTCACATAGGCTTGGTTATGTGCATCGTGTCGTAATCCACAAGTAGCGTTTTGTGCACTCAACAACCGGAGTGCACACTAACAATATTGAAGCTATGTGGTCGAGGCTGGAAGAGCTTTTGCGACCTTATCATAGCTCCAGAGGCCGACTATTTTGTAGCCATATGGATGATTTCCTCTACTGCATGCATTACAATTTTAGAATCTCTGAACCTCTGTCTAACCTCGACAAGTTTTTGAATCACGTATATGAAGTGTATCCACTTTATTTCTTTGGTTTTGTATAACATATTTTCACTCTGTGCCGACTGTTTGCTGATTGGCTAATATTTCTCAAGGCCACTTACGATTCGTTCAAAGGTCGTCCATAAATTAGAGTCTCGCCCATATCACATTGGATCATAGTTTATTCAGGTTAGAATAACTGAAATTACAAAATAGGTTCCAGTTTCAGTTTGGAAAAGGACGGAGGCTCTTTGGCCTGTGTTGGTCCTTTTGTAGATTCGACAGATGGAGCTTCAATCACATGTTGGGGTAATGAATTTCACTCGTTGGTGATTCGATGGGAAAGTCAGTAGTCAGTTGACAAGTAATTTGTTCTGGGCTTGTGAGCTTTTTTGGAGTGTCCTCGCAAAATCTGTTTTGGAAGACAAAAAGAAGGGCATGTCAGATACGAATTCATCACTAAGTAATTTTAATCTGTAATCAAGTCACCTCTAGTTCCTTAATATGTCAACGGGGGTAGGTTTGGTTTAGTCTGTCGGGCATCATACGGAACCTTTACTATTCCGGAAATCAGCTTAGTTACTGTCCTCCAAACCCTTTCCAAAGGCTCACTGTGGGTTGTAAAGCCAAGAATGACCTGAGTCCCCTTGAAGTACAACTTTCCTAAATTAGTAATCAATTCTTAAAACCCTTCCACTTAAAGGGTATCTACATCTTAGCTTGATTTTTTGAAGAGATGACTAGACAGCTATGAGGAGGTTGCTAAAAATAGAATACAAACCCGCAGCCTTCTATCCTATACAACGATTCGTCACCAACTCGACAGTGTGTCTTATTATCTTATAAACATCATTTAAGTGTCTTTTTCCAGCTTTCACTATAATTTCTTTGTGTTCAGGTTAAATTATCAGTGATCACCAACATTATAATACGTGAAAGTGCTTTCAAATGTGGTAGCTTTCGTGACTACTCTGTCTTGGTTGTTTAGTCTAAACATTGTTCACCATTAAAACTGATGCCCGAATTGAAGCTGCTACCTTGACGCGGTGGTCGGGCTTGCCTATCGTGATGACCCAATCGAGCTATATTAGCTGGAACATATGTTCCTGTATGTTCTACCATGCCATGCAGGTCGATTGGAGAACGGTAAGATTAAAAGCAGCAACTCAAGGTCTGAGGGCGAAGTCGTACTGCTGACTGTAGAGGGGTGTGACAGCAGTAAGGTGTTTCCCTTAGACAACCAGCATGACAGCGATGCTGCCTTCCCACAAGGAGGGGTGGGGTTACAAAAGTTCGACCCTAAAAATGTCACACCTGACCTTACCTCACAGAATTCCGTCTCCGGCGGTAAGGACCTTTGAAGAACGGAGCTAACACATTAAAAACCTTCGACGAAAAGGCCGTGCGCGACCGGTCTCAAGCAGTTGTTCCTTGGGCTCGCTCCCAGGTCGTTAAAACCAACACTAACCCAATTTCCTTTTCAGGTTCCTCAAGAAATACCCTTCCACAGTGTGGGCAGCCGGGAAGTGATATCAGCCCTCATACCCGTAACAGCACACGAGACCAAGTTGGTCACATTCAAATCCTTCCTACACCTCCTAATACCTCTCTTATCTCCATGACTAACCCTCCTCACGTCTCTTTATCACCTCGCACCTCTAGGGCAAACGATTCGAGTACGCGGAACGTTATTCCTGGTCTCCTGAAACCACGCTCTAAACTACACGTAGGAGCTTTTAACGTCCGAACACTGTACCAAATAGGACAGCAGGCTTCCTTAGCTAGGACTTTAGAATCCCGCGCCATCGATGTGTGCTGCGTCTCTGAAACGCGCATACAGGATCCGAGTAGCGTCATTCATCTGACCTCACCATGTCAAAATAAAGAACCGACTCGATTCACACTTCGTGCATCTGGAAGCCGTGATTCTGCTTCCCGTGGCCTCTCCGGCGTAAGCATAGCATTGACTCCTAGGGCAGAACTAGCTCTCTTAAACTGGATCCCAGTAGACAGTCGTTTGTGCGCTGTCCGACTAAACGGATCAATAAGGATCCGAAAAGATAGGGACACTCGTCGTTGCCTCTTCGTCGTCTCTGCTTATTCTCCCACTGACTGCAGCGCAGATGATGTAAAAGATGAGTTTTGCAGAAAGCTTTCCGACCTTCTCCGAAAAGCTAGGCGCTCGGATGTAGTAATAGTGGCTGGTGACTTCAATGCTCAAGTAGGTAAACTAAGCGATAGGGAAAGACACCTGGATGGATCTTATGGTGTCGTGGCTCAAAGAACAGATAATGGTGACCGTCTGTTGCAACTATGCTCAGATAACCGTCTGTTCCTTGCAAATACTAACTTTAAGCATAAGGAAAAACATCTTTTAACATGGAGACCCCCTAATTCGTCCCAACGTTGGACCCAACTAGATCACATTGCTATCAGCCACCGATAGAGGGGCTCGATAGAAGACTGTCGCTCATTCTGGAGCACATGCTTAGATTCAGGTCATGCTCTAGTACGAGCGCGTATTTGTCTGCGTCTTACTGGACGTAGGAAAGACGCTGCAAGGAAACCTCTTAGGGTCCTACTTAATGATAGTCAAGCTAAGAGTATATTTCAGGAACAACTAGGAAAACAGTTAGACAGCCATGTATGTGATGCCCACCCCGAGGCAGCATGGAATGATATCCGTAAAGCTGTGGAAACAGCAGTGATATCTGCTAGTACGGTAACCCGTAAGGTTAGGGAACGACACTTTATCTCAGCAGCATCTATCGCACTGATAGATGCTCGGAAACTCATTCCACCTGGCTCTGAACATAATGAAGAGCGGAGTCAGCTTAAGCGCAAACTGACAAGAAGTCTACGCAATGATCGTGAACAGTGGTGGGTAGCGAAATCAAGAGAGATGGAAAAGGCAGCGGCAATAGGTAATGACAGACAATTGTTCAGACTCGTTAAGGAAACCGGAATTAGGAACCCGACCGTTAGCGAAACAATCTCAGAGAAAGATGGACGTATTATTCATTCTCAATGCAGGAGATTGGATCGATGGGCAGAACACTTCAGGGGTCAGTTCAACTGGCCTTCAGCCACACGTTAGTTTCCCACGATCTCCAGTCAACCTGAATGACAAGTTAATGTAGGTCATCAGTCTCTTTACGAAGTTGAAAAAGCCATAAAAAATCTGGAGCGAGGGAGAGCAGCAGGCCCTGACAGGTTTACTCCTGAGATTTTTAAGGATGGTGGTTCAGTATTAGCAGTGAGATTAACTGAGGTCTTAGGTAGAATTTGGGAACTGGACGTAATCCCATCTGACTGGTGTCAATCACTGATTGTGCCAGTCTATAAGAAAGGACAAAAGTCCTCTTGTGACAATCACAGAGGAATCAGTTTGACTAATATAGTGTCTAAAATATTAGCCTCAATAATACTTCGACGCCTAGTCAAAGCTCGTGAAGAGCAGATTAGAGAAAACCAGGCCGGTTTTCGACCTGGACGTGGTTGTATAGATCAGATATTCACACTACGTCAGGTTCTAGAACACAGACACACGTTCAGGCGCCCCACAATAGTGTTATTTCTCGACCTTAAGGCGGCATTCGACTCTGTTGATCGTGAGGTTCTATGGCAGTGTTTGTCACTGAAAAGAGTACCAAAGAAGTACATTAACCTTATTCAGGCTCTCTACTCGAACACAACTGGTAGAGTGAGAGCTTATGGTGAACTGTCATCAGAATTGATTACCTCAAGTGGTGTTCGTCAGGGCTGTCCACTCTCTCCATTCTTGTTCAACTTTGTGGTCGACGTACTTTTAGAGATGACACTCTCCTCATCTGAATTTCCAGGGGTTGAACTTCCACTGGGAGGTTCACTTGTTGACTTAGAATATGCTGATGACATAGTTTTATTTGGTGAAGACGCTGACAAAATGCAGAGTCTTCTGACCACTCTAAGCAGCAATGCAAGCATGTTCGGGATGCGATTCTCCCCCTCGAAATGAAAATTGCTGCTTCAGGATTGGGTTACATCGACACCCGAACTAGTGATAGGGAGTGAAGTAGTTGAGTGTGTCGACCGCTTCACTTATCTTGGAAGTCTCATCAGCCCGTGTGGTCTGGTGTGTGACGAAATCTCAGCACGGATACAGAAGGCTCGAATAGCTTTCGCCAACTTGCGTCATTTATGGCGTAGGCGAGATATCCGTCTATCAACCAAAGGACGTGTTTACTGCGCAGCAGTTCGTCCCGTCCTACTTTATGGCAGTGAAACATGGCCGGTAAGAGTAGAGGATATTCGTAGATTACTATTATTTGATCATAGGTGTCTTCGAAACATTGCTCGTATATCCTGGGACTACGGAGTAAGTAACTCAGTTGTTAGGAAACGGGTACTAGGTAAGGATGGCAAATCAATTGATGAAGTGGTGAAACTTCATCAGTTGAGATGGCTGGGACACGTGTTACGTATGCCCAACGACCGACTGCCTCGACGTGCGATGTTCAGTGGTATAGGAGTAATTTGGAAGAAAGCTAGGGGCGGCCAGACCAAAACATGGTACAAGTCCATGAAGTCATTGACAAGTGGACTGAGTCGTGTTGGTAGGTGTAGACTACCTGGTTGGCGACCGCGAGATGACAGCAACCGATGGTTAGAGACCTTGAATGGCATGGCTCAGAATTGTCTGCAATGACGCAGATGCAACCACTCCTTGTGTTCTCCCAAATTCTAATCTCCTGGATCCTCCTGGTCTCTTTTTTCTCTTTCCAATTTTATTTCACTGTATTATACTCCTTAAATAACTTCTTCAATGCCTATTCTTTCCGATTACTGCTTATACTCTTATTACCACTACGGGATTTGAATCGACAACTGCATCTCTGTGCTAATGTGGTGTGACTTTACGTGCTGCATTGTGGAACGTAGTGGTTTAATTATTCCACTCTCGGCCAGCAGATTATAAATTTACATTTTGCACCGTTGGCTTGGTATTTCATCCTTTGTTGGAGTCCGCATGACTATCATAACCAATGGTTGGAGACTCTAGGTGACATGGCTCAGAATCGATCACAATGGCGTAGGCGTATACACTCTTTGTCTTTCCTTAAACCATGAGATTAAAATTACTTTATACCTTTCTTTCTACGAATTAATTCTTTCCTCCTGTTAATTAATTAATTTATTTGAACACATAAATATTGGTACAAAGGGGCACTGAATACATATGCACCACATAGGTGTGTGGGCTGGGATACTACCCGAGTGCCCAAACCGAAACAGGTGGTTTCCTCAAGTAGTTACACCCTGGAGCCTTCGACCTAAAAGTTTGATCCGCAAAGCAGTGGAGCAACGTCGGGAGACACTCCCATGGTAGCCGGTGACCAGTAATTCGTTCATACGCCATTCGTTCCTTCAGGATCCTGGAGCCCACGTGCACCATTGGTTTGAGATCAGGGTTTTCCAACTCCCCTAGGTGGACATTCCGTGTCCACCAATCCGGTTAAAGCGTTGGACGTTCGCTTTTCGTCCTCTCAATTTTGTAAACAACACCCCAACCATGAGCAGGTAGTGAGCAGGACTTCCCTGGCAGTGGCTGTATACGCGTGCCCATGTAAGAGCATTTCGAGAGGGAGAGCTGACTCTCCTCACCTTCGGCCGTGCCATGGCATTCGTATTATATCCTTATACCTAATCTTTCTTTCATATATTACTACCATTGAAGTAACTACTGTGAAGTTGTTCATCTTGTACTACCGAGTTGTGGCTGACTGATTGACTCATCCTCGTGTGCCAGTAATTCAGAACCTAGCATACACTTACTTTGGTTAGTTATGAAATGACTTTGTTCCCCTGTGGTTCATACCTCCTTGATGACTCATATTTCCGGTGCTGTTTATATAGTATTACTGTATACACCACTGGGTAACTTTTTTTGAAATTTTCTTTTAATTTAGTTAAAGATATTATTCATTGGAGTGAGCCAATCAAGTCGGGTATTGTTTCCGCTGTTGGGTTGACATTTTTGTTAAGTTTATCCTGCATGTCATTCATTTCCGTTGTTGCTTACGCTGGGCTTGCCTTATTTTGCTGTACAGCAGCTTACAAACTGTATAATGCCGTTCTTGGTTCAAATAAACAGGAAGCGTCAAACAATTCAAACCATTCATTTCAGTATGTTTAAAGTCTTTTTAGCTATAGACTAAGTCTAATATTTCAATGAATTTTTATTGTATATATATATATATATATATATATATATATATATATATATATATATATATATATATATATATATATATATATATATATATATCACCTAGTTACACTGGAAACTTTCGCAAAAAGGGAAATGTAAATAAAGGTCAATGATCGTGTTCTATTATTTATGTACAATGTTATTGTTGGAGTCATACGAATTCTTCCATAAAGTCCCCAAAAGGCCGAAGAAAACATCTCTATTGATTAGCATTGAGTAGCAATCTTCCAAAAACACGTAAAAAGTGCCAAGGATTATGTGTCACAACTTGGTAGATGGTCACCTATTATATTACTAAACTTAGTTGTTATAGTCTCTTTCTTACGGCTATGACCCAGCTATTCCTATTGCTTGGTAATCTCGTACACCGATTCACTCGACAAGTCTCCAAATCAGAACACGGTTGAACAGAAAAGAGATTATTTTCCAAATAACAAGGTTAGATAGAAGTAAGATGCAAGCAAGAAGCACAATAGGGAAAAACGTTGATATATTTATAGTTTTTACATGAGGAGATTCTAGATTACTCTCCAACTATCGGCTAGTGCTGATTGGATAAGAATTAGCCGATCAGCGTTCAGCAAAGCAATCGTGCATTGAGCATGTTTTAATCCAGTCTATGTCCCGCTAACATTAGTATATATCCACAAATTTTTAGAAGATCTGGGCCACTCATAAATCTACAGACAAACTTATTTTTTGTGCGTAGATTAACCTTGAGGTCTAGCTTCTATTTTTACTTCGCAAATTCCCTCTACTATTTAGAGCTCAAGTGTTAGACATTCCGGTAGCCGCAGTTAGAAAACTGAGTCATTCGAAACTGTCTAGGATTTCAAATTGGTTAACATCAAACAGGGTTTATATGTTTTCTCTCAAAGGTGAAAGACGACCATTCATTAATACAACCATAGAAACTTTCATTGTATTTGCCAAGGAAATTTCTATTTCCCGAACCAAAACTTACATTAAGTGCTCTGATTATATACATTCATGATTATACAACATTCATATATTTTAGAGGATTTATCTGGGGCGCTTTAATCCCCAAGCTCTCATTGCATCGGTTAAAATATTAATATAGTTCTGTTTCGATCATTCATGGTTTATGTTTACTTTGATTGTTTCATTCATTATTCGCAACTTCTATAAATAACACAACTCTACTCTAACAATTCCCTTCTTTGACATATCTCTTTTAAGTTCATGGCTTGAATATGATGTTCTGTTATCTGAAGATAAAATTGCCCAACGTGTTGGAGCTGCATCTGAACAGTTATCTGAAAAATTAAATCAGTTACGTCGTATGTTATTGATGCAAGATTATTTTGAAACTGCCAAGGTAAATTTGCGTTCTACTCTTTATCTTCATGATGCCAACGCAACACAGAGGTTAACCTTTTTTCTAGTGGTTGGAATTGTTATATTCTCAAATCTTTTCCAGTATTATTATCATTATTATTCATTTCAATATTAAGACTTTTGGTTTTATTCGTACTGTTAGTTCTTGTTAATTTTCTAAGGAAAATTCATAGCTTGAGCATAGACTGAGGGTGTAGTTGGTCATACGGTCTCATTAATGATATTTTGAAACCCACATATTCCAACTACTTTATTTTTGTCGATAGGAATTTCAGTAACTGTACAATTTTATTTATAAACACACGTTTACCCATCTTACTGTATGAAGTTTGATTCATTTGGATTGAAAGAATACTGTGTCGATTCCCTAAACCACGACACAACAGTTGTTGTCCGGTTTGTTTCTGTTACCGTTAGTGGAGCAGCTAGTGTATTTTTTACGTCGGATTTTACTCAAATACCATCATTTATAAATGTGACCTTCATAACGTTCAGTACTTTGATAATTTAAGTATAAAAATAGCACTTCTTAGTTGTGATCGTCAAATAACACTTCACGCTTACGAGAAGTTTTATATCTGAGTCTTTATTGCTACGTGGCTTCCTTAGTTATTGGTTGAGTAGAGAAGGTAGATATTCCTTGCGAAGCCCGTCTTTAAACAATGAGATTGTTATTAAGCTGGCGTTCCTATCTTCTGTTTTAGTGATATGAAGATTATGATTAGTAATATGCTCTAAAGTGTGTGAAATAATCAATATAAGTGCTGAAAGATCTTGGTGATAATTTTTTCTCAGTATTTTTGTTCAATTATCTTATACCAGATTTCTACCATATTAGCATAACTTTTTGAATTCCAGCAGTTACTATATCGCTTTTATATGTATTTGATATTTTCTAGCTTGCGGTTGGCTTATACATACTATCAATTATAGGTGGATGGTTTAATTTACTTACATTAATTATTATACGTGAGTTTTGTATTGTAATGACATATGATTTTTATATAAATTAGTCTATTTGATGGTTATAATTACTGAGCAAAATCATGGAACTATTAGAATTAAATAATTGTTAGGCGACTGCATATGGGGCTCTTACTGCGTCATGACAATTGAATATCATGACCTAGCAGACTACTCTCTTTTCATGACAGACAACTAACTTCCTAGTATAACTGTCATAACGTTATATCACGCGAATTGTGAAAGGTTCATTGGTCGTTGTGGAATGTGTTCGAGACCAAAAGGTCTACGACATCAGACAGGATTGTGACATGTTCTAGAACAAAGTTAGCATTCTAAATCTTGAAAGGCTTAGTGCATACAATGTTTCTGAGCGGTTAGGGTTTGATTATTTTTATCTCATAGTAGATCGAAACCTGACCTATATCCGTAGTTTTAAATTTCTTGGATATTTAATAAACGTCGGACATTGGTTCATTGCATCTAATTTGTATTTGTGTTTATTTTGCTTTGTGAGTAGTGGCGGTTTGGTGGTTAACACATGGCTTTCAATTGTGAAGTTGCACATTTTAGACCCTTTTTTACCAATTTCGGTTTCGATAACTGAATGGTATCATTAGCCCCCACACTGGTAGTGTCTCCGAAATCAAGTATTAAAACTTGTATTAAGTAAATGAGCAACGTTAATTTTCTATTCGGTAATATACTGTTGTATACAGCATAGTGTTTTGTCCTGTCTAATCTATGGACAAAACGTCTAAACGTAGAGAACCAGTCTTCCTTTTATTTTAATTGAAGACAAACCTTTAATGAAATAAGTTAGCAGATCTAGTCTTTCGAGTAGTTATCGAGTGTTCATACTGTATCATTCCTCACTATCAACCATACAGGGTTGTTTCCACTACTCCCATCCTCGAGTCGTATTCTTGACTATCAAAAGTTTGGTCACACTGTTGTGAATCTCATTAAAAAATGAGCTAAATTTTTTTTTAAATTAAGAAGTGTATTGTACTTTTCTGAACTTGCTATAGTGTATCAAGTTTTCAATTCACGAAGTATAACTAACTAGGATAAAAGACTATTTTTAATACTTTAGATTGTTGACAGTTTGCGTACCTAAAGCGTAATTTCACTTTTATGACAAACTTAAACAACATGGGACCAGCCAGGACTATTTGTACAGCAACAGGAAATTAATGAAATAAAAGCAAAGTATGGAGACTAATATTACTAACAGTAATAGAAGACCTTAAAGAGAGAAAGGCTGCTATGAATAACTAGTTTGATCTATAATATTTTTATTAAGAAGAGAACCAACTATATCTATGTCACCAACCCAAGCATTTCGTTGTGCAGTTCATAACCCTCCACGATGATATAGATGCTTTTTTCCCTTTATTTTTCGTTAAAACGTGAACATTTTTTAACCCCTATAAATATTGGATGTCTGATAATTTACTGTCCGTTTTCACGTACATTAGGCAATAATTTTTCTTACACTTTTTAGTATTCGTTTTGGGATTGACGTGCCCCAGAATTTACTTATTATACCAGGTTAGTGATATTTGTATTTCCACCTAAAGTATAGTAATCAGAATATTATTTGTAATATTAGTTTTTATTTTCTTCTGGGATTCATTGTCTTAAGTCGGTATCAGGAGTTTCTATATTACTGTCCCCAAAGCAAATGACGTGTGTAAAAATGGTGACAGTTATCACAATTTTTATGATTTACTGTGTTACAATTCTGCGCATTTTAAATTAAAGCCTATATATATATATGCACTGTTCTTAAACAGTCCTTTTGTTTTGTATGTCAATTTCTAAGTGTGACCATTTGGTTAATTATTACTAAGTAATAAATGGAACTGATTGTATTCCTTACACTTTAAGTATATCTTCCATTTTTGGACGAAATATAAAATACTTGAAAGTATTTATGAACTTATGGCCGAGCTATATTGGCTGGAACATATGTTCCTGTATGTTCTACCATGCCATGCAGGTCGATTGGAGAACGGTAAGATTAAAAGCAGCAACTCAAGGTCTGAGGGCGAAGTCGTACTGCTGACTGTAGAGGGGTGTGACAGCAGTAAGGTGTTTCCCTTAGACAACCAGCATGACAGCGATGCTGCCTTCCCACAAGGAGGGGTGGGGTTACAAAAGTTCGACCCTAAAAATGTCACACCTGACCTTACCTCACAGAATTCCGTCTCCGGCGGTAAGGACCTTTGAAGAACGGAGCTAACACATTAAAAACCTTCGACGAAAAGGCCGTGCGCGACCGGTCTCAAGCAGTTGTTCCTTGGGCTCGCTCCCAGGTCGTTAAAACCAACACTAACCCAATTTCCTTTTCAGGTTCCTCAAGAAATACCCTTCCACAGTGTGGGCAGCCGGGAAGTGATATCAGCCCTCATACCCGTAACAGCACACGAGACCAAGTTGGTCACATTCAAATCCTTCCTACACCTCCTAATACCTCTCTTATCTCCATGACTAACCCTCCTCACGTCTCTTTATCACCTCGCACCTCTAGGGCAAACGATTCGAGTACGCGGAACGTTATTCCTGGTCTCCTGAAACCACGCTCTAAACTACACGTAGGAGCTTTTAACGTCCGAACACTGTACCAAATAGGACAGCAGGCTTCCTTAGCTAGGACTTTAGAATCCCGCGCCATCGATGTGTGCTGCGTCTCTGAAACGCGCATACAGGATCCGAGTAGCGTCATTCATCTGACCTCACCATGTCAAAATAAAGAACCGACTCGATTCACACTTCGTGCATCTGGAAGCCGTGATTCTGCTTCCCGTGGCCTCTCTGGCGTAAGCATAGCATTGACTCCTAGGGCAGAACTAGCTCTCTTAAACTGGATCCCAGTAGACAGTCGTTTGTGCGCTGTCCGACTAAACGGATCAATAAGGATCCGAAAAGATAGGGACACTCGTCGTTGCCTCTTCGTCGTCTCTGCTTATTCTCCCACTGACTGCAGCGCAGATGATGTAAAAGATGAGTTTTGCAGAAAGCTTCCCGACCTTCTCCGAAAAGCTAGGCGCTCGGATGTAGTAATAGTGGCTGGTGACTTCAATGCTCAAGTAGGTAAACTAAGCGATAGGGAAAGACACCTGGATGGATCTTATGGTGTCGTGGCTCAAAGAACAGATAATGGTGACCGTCTGTTGCAACTATGCTCAGATAACCGTCTGTTCCTTGCAAATACTAACTTTAAGCATAAGGAAAAACATCTTTTAACATGGAGACCCCCTAATTCGTCCCAACGTTGGACCCAACTAGATCACATTGCTATCAGCCACCGATAGAGGGGCTCGATAGAAGACTGTCGCTCATTCTGGAGCACATGCTTAGATTCAGATCATGCTCTAGTACGAGCGCGTATTTGTCTGCGTCTTACTGGACGTAGGAAAGACGCTGCAAGGAAACCTCTTAGGGTCCTACTTAATGATAGTCAAGCTAAGAGTATATTTCAGGAACAACTAGGAAAACAGTTAGACAGCCATGTATGTGATGCCCACCCCGAGGCAGCATGGAATGATATCCGTAAAGCTGTGGAAACAGCAGTGATATCTGCTAGTACGGTAACCCGTAAGGTTAGGGAACGACACTTTATCTCAGCAGCATCTATCGCACTGATAGATGCTCGGAAACTCATTCCACCTGGCTCTGAACATAATGAAGAGCGGAGTCAGCTTAAGCGCAAACTGACAAGAAGTCTACGCAATGATCGTGAACAGTGGTGGGTAGCGAAATCAAGAGAGATGGAAAAGGCAGCGGCAATAGGTAATGACAGACAATTGTTCAGACTCGTTAAGGAAACCGGAATTAGGAACCCGACCGTTAGCGAAACAATCTCAGAGAAAGATGGACGTATTATTCATTCTCAATGCAGGAGATTGGATCGATGGGCAGAACACTTCAGGGGTCAGTTCAACTGGCCTTCAGCCACACGTTAGTTTCCCACGATCTCCAGTCAACCTGAATGACAAGTTAATGTAGGTCATCAGTCTCTTTACGAAGTTGAAAAAGCCATAAAAAATCTGGAGCGAGGGAGAGCAGCAGGCCCTGACAGGTTTACTCCTGAGATTTTTAAGGATGGTGGTTCAGTATTAGCAGTGAGATTAACTGAGGTCTTAGGTAGAATTTGGGAACTGGACGTAATCCCATCTGACTGGTGTCAATCACTGATTGTGCCAGTCTATAAGAAAGGACAAAAGTCCTCTTGTGACAATCACAGAGGAATCAGTTTGACTAATATAGTGTCTAAAATATTAGCCTCAATAATACTTCGACGCCTAGTCAAAGCTCGTGAAGAGCAGATTAGAGAAAACCAGGCCGGTTTTCGACCTGGACGTGGTTGTATAGATCAGATATTCACACTACGTCAGGTTCTAGAACACAGACACACGTTCAGGCGCCCCACAATAGTGTTATTTCTCGACCTTAAGGCGGCATTCGACTCTGTTGATCGTGAGGTTCTATGGCAGTGTTTGTCACTGAAAAGAGTACCAAAGAAGTACATTAACTTTATTCAGGCTCTCTACTCGAACACAACTGGTAGAGTGAGAGCTTATGGTGAACTGTCATCAGAATTGATTACCTCAAGTGGTGTTCGTCAGGGCTGTCCACTCTCTCCTTTCTTGTTCAACTTTGTGGTCGACGTACTTTTAGAGATGACACTCTCCTCATCTGAATTTCCAGGGGTTGAACTTCCACTGGGAGGTTCACTTGTTGACTTAGAATATGCTGATGACATAGTTTTATTTGGTGAAGACGCTGACAAAATGCAGAGTCTTCTGACCACTCTAAGCAGCAATGCAAGCATGTTCGGGATGCGATTCTCCCCCTCGAAATGAAAATTGCTGCTTCAGGATTGGGTTACATCGACACCCGAACTAGTGATAGGGAGTGAAGTAGTTGAGTGTGTCGACCGCTTCACTTATCTTGGAAGTCTCATCAGCCCGTGTGGTCTGGTGTGTGACGAAATCTCAGCACGGATACAGAAGGCTCGAATAGCTTTCGCCAACTTGCGTCATTTATGGCGTAGGCGAGATATCCGTCTATCAACCAAAGGACGTGTTTACTGCGCAGCAGTTCGTCCCGTCCTACTTTATGGCAGTGAAACATGGCCGGTAAGAGTAGAGGATATTCGTAGATTACTATTATTTGATCATAGGTGTCTTCGAAACATTGCTCGTATATCCTGGGACTACGGAGTAAGTAACTCAGTTGTTAGGAAACGGGTACTAGGTAAGGATGGCAAATCAATTGATGAAGTGGTGAAACTTCATCAGTTGAGATGGCTGGGACACGTGTTACGTATGCCCAACGACCGACTGCCTCGACGTGCGATGTTCAGTGGTATAGGAGTAATTTGGAAGAAAGCTAGGGGCGGCCAGACCAAAACATGGTACAAGTCCATGAAGTCATTGACAAGTGGACTGAGTCGTGTTGGTAGGTGTAGACTACCTGGTTGGCGACCGCGAGATGACAGCAACCGATGGTTAGAGACCTTGAATGGCATGGCTCAGAATTGTCTGCAATGACGCAGATGCAACCACTCCTTGTGTTCTCCCAAATTCTAATCTCCTGGATCCTCCTGGTCTCTTTTTTCTCTTTCCAATTTTATTTCACTGTATTATACTCCTTAAATAACTTCTTCAATGCCTATTCTTTCCGATTACTGTTTATACTCTTACTACCTCTACCGTAATATAATTTTAATCGACAACTGCATCTCTGTGCTAATGTGGTGTGGCAACTCGAAGTGATGTACGTACGTACGAAGTTCTACGTTGTTACTGACTGACTGATCCATATTTTCAAACCTTTTCGAATGAATTTATTGTGCTTTAACGATAATAGATGTGTAAAGAAATTCCTGATTCCATAGGGACTACAAGCCACCTCTTTTGTAGAGGAGCAAAACTGGTAACCATGTCCAAATTTCTTTGCATAAACCAGTAAATTTATCAAAATGTAGTAAGGTTTTTATTTGTAATCGACTAATCGGTGATCAAATAAACTAATATGTTTTTGTAAATCACACATTTCCGTCCACTCACCCTCTTAAATTTTGTTAGCTTTTCAAATTTCATTCCATTATTACGTAACATATTTTATCACTGCTTATTTCCATGAGTCCTTCACTACCTCTCAAATTATCACACGATTTATAACTCCACTAAACCATTACACCACCCATCCTTTATTGTTTTCTTAATTCTAATACTAATACCTTTTTCTTGCATATATCTGAACATAGTTATTATTGTAAAACTTTATCATTCCAATCATTTACATTCATTTATGTCAATTGTTTTACACTATTTCTTATCCCAATGTTAAATTCTATTGCATATTTGATTGTAAGTAGCTGACGAGAAACCTCGAAATATTATGAATTCATACTATTCTGTATCAATATTTGTTCTTGCTTTATTTAAATTCATAAAAGGAACTAATTGCATGAAATTGCCTATCGTGATGAAGCATCCGAGCTATACTGGCTGTAACAACCGTCCCCCAAGGTCCTACCATGCCAGACAGGTCGGTTGAAGAGCCGTAAGACTAAAAGCAACAAACCAAAGGTTCGAGGGCGAAGTCCTATTGCTTACTGTACAGAAGTGTGACAGCAGCAAGGTGTTTCCTTCAGACAACTAGCATGACAGCGATGCTGCCTTCCCATAAGGAGGAGTGTGTTTAGAAAAGGTTGAACCTAAAAATGCACACCTCGCCTTGTCCCACGGATATCCGTCTCCGGTGGTAAGGTCTCAACAAGTACGGAGCGAACACAAAAATTACTCATGAAGAGGTCATGTGTGACAGACCTCAAGCAGTTGTCCCTTGGGCAATGCGGTCACGCTCTCAGATCAGTAAAACCACTCCTAATTCGATTCCCTTTTCAGGTACCTGCGGAGGAACCCTTCCACGTTGTTGGCAACGGGGAAGTGGTAACCGCCCTCATACCTCTAACAGCACTCAAGATCACTGTATTCATAATCAACCTCTTTCTTCATCCTCATCGACTGAGACGGTTGGGCCACGTGTTGTGTATGCCTGAACACCGATTACCAAGACGTGCAATGCTGATTGGTGTTGGGAATGGTTGTAAGAAAGTTAGGGTTGGCCAAACCAAAACGTGGCATCAGTGCTTGAACTCACTAACTTCTAGTCTGACTCACATTGGTAGATGCAGACTACTTGGTTGGGGTCCTCATGACTGTCGTAACCAATGCTTGGAGACTTGGTGAAGTGGCTCAGAATCGATATTTCCTTCTACGAAATATTTCTTTCTGTACTATATCCTTACATAAAATATTTCCTTTATATATTACACCATTGAGTTAACTGCTTCTATGGATCCGGTGTTCGTCTTGCTGTGCTAATGAGGTGTGGCATCTTGGTCCGATGCATGTATGTGCATGGTCCTATGTTGTGTAACTGACTGACTGAGTGTAAAACACGCGTTAAGTCATTATTTGTTTTTGAAATTTCCTTTGCTCAAGGTAAAAAAAATTTTCTAAAATAAAATATCTCGTTAAATATTTGCCATACAAAATTCTTATTCAATCGACCAGTTTTTGATCATAATTTTATCATTGTTGTTGACTGTATAAGACTAAGACTCACATTTTTTTTATTTCACTGATTGCATTGATCGATTGCTATTTTGTACATAAGATTTTTTTAAAATATTTACAATCACATTCTTTTTCGTTTAATAAAGTACGTGAATTTGTTTGTCTATTGATTTGTTCATGTTAAATATTTATTTCATTTGATCTGAACTTTTAAAGACGCTTGATAACTCAAAAATGTAACTTTATAATCATAGTATCAAAATTATTGATATGAATATTTAAGGTGTATGATAAACTAGTAATATATATCTCTAAATTTCTATCTGTATATATATATGCTCAAACTACTTTGTTTTACATTCTGACTCATTGTTTTTTTCTGTAGCTAACCAGTTTAAACTTCATTCAGTATAGGTGTTTTCTAAATTAAACATTAATAGTTTACACTGGTCTAGTGATTACAAAAACGCATTTGGAAACTATTTTCAAACAATAGATTAGATTGGCTTACAGAATTTTACAGAGAGTACAAATACCAACAAACTTTAATTCGAAACAAAATACGTTTCATCATTTATTGTTCACACATATACCTATTTTGTTTAGTCAGACATATATATGCATCGATCCAGGTTGCCACACCTCATTAACACAAACATAAGTCTTGGTCATTATAGTATTGTATCTCTCATCAGTTGATCTACTTCATTTATTCCTGACTGACTACTTTTTTATTATTTACATCTAAAAATGTTGTGAAATCCTGTACCAATAAACATTAAATAACTTAAAATTAGAAACAACTGTCGTTTATTCTTTGAACTTACTTCACTCACAGACTATTTACCTTTTACAAATATTTTCGGACTTTGTACTTATTAGCTATTTATACATACAAATTTATCATACCTAAATAAAGATAATTCGACAAAAAAAATTCTTCAACAATACCATTTAACCTAGAGGTCAGAGAATAATAGGAGGATGAGACATAACTGTCCACTTGACAGATAAGGTAAAATGAAAAACTTAAAAATTTTAATACCAATTAAATACTAAGTCAGATCCTGTTTTGTGTTTATCCGTGCTATCTTCTTTGCATAATAATTTGAAAATACTTGATATATCATATATATTGTGCTTTGAATTTTTCTTGTTCAGCCTCAATGTGATGAAGCATTCAAAGTGGCTAAAACGAAATTGACAGATATACTTAAAATGTAAGTGTATAAACTTAATTACCGAAGTTCTCTTGAATTTTATATACATAGTTGGAATGACAAAAGAAAACCTGGTCAGCAGTATGATTTTAATCAATTCCCTTGTCATATCACATCATTTTGTATTTGAGACTCAGGAGGAGGGATTACATCAATGATCTTCAAAAACAAACCGCATAACTACTGCTTTAACAATATCGTTTGCAGCATACATGGTTGACTTTTTAAAACTTGATCATAGTGAAATTCCCCATTTTGATATTTGGTAAATAAGGAAGGAACGAATTGCTCAATTCGTTCCTTCCTTATTTACCAAAACTTGATTGGTTCTAATCGTATAGTCGAAAACTTACTGAATATAACGATATATTCCAGTTGAATATATATCTATGAAGTTTGAACCCTTTAACTAACTGACTGAGTTATTACCTAATAGGTAAAAAAATATATTAAAAATGAAAGCTTCTACTACAAAAATATCTGTGAATGTCTGTGGAATTTTGTAAACGTTTTGATAATAATTATAAAAACTATCATTGAACAGTCATAATAACACTCATTCATTGTATTTTCATACCATTGAAACACTATAAAAGCCTTATGGTTGAGCATTAGGATTATTTTTTCTAAGTTCAAAACTTCGTAAGCAAGATCAAACTAATGATAATTACTTATTCATTTAATCTTTAATAGTGTACTTGGATAACAAATTCAAACATGATTTAAAATAGATTTATAATACGTCTAATTCATTATAAATTGTTCTACTTTAATTTTCAGTGTTGAAACTAAAGTTGAAAAGCTTCGTGGTTCACCAAAAAAGTAGGATTTCTGCACCCTGTTCACAGTGATCGATTCAGTCTGGTGATATTCACTCAAATGATGTATTTGTCTTCAGTAATTTGTATTGTGTGCATATTCTTATAGAAATTACTCTTCCTCTTTTAGTCCTGTCATACATTTAAATTTTCGTTGAATTATGTCACAATACTATAACTGTGCTTTTGTCATTCAGTAATTAATTAAAGAATCTTCACATTTTAAATTAAGAATTATTTCCTTCTACCTCCTGCCTCTTCGTTTTCGTTTTGCATGTTTCAATGTTACTTGTTTTTATTTTATTTGTCATTAGTTTGTGAATCAAAATAAATTGGTTGATTGTCTTGAAGTTTTATGTATCAACTTTAGGTTTACAGTTATTTGAACGTTTTGTCTACCCTATCGATCTCAATAGATGTCACGAAAAACTAGTCTTCATTTTGCCTTCCTAGTTCTCAATTATTGAAACTTTGTTACAACTAAATATTTTATACGTATTTGAAAGAAGCTTGATCCATCTTCACTTAAGCCCTACAGAAATTTAAAAATTGTGATGCCTAAATAAACTTACATGCGCATTCAGTAGTCCTGCTCCATATGATACGTATCAATATCAATATGTAATCAACTTAACCTTTGGAGAATCCTATATAATCACAATAGTTTGTTGTCGTTTCCAAATTTATCGTATGTAATCCTGTTATGGGGACCTCATTTGATCGTAATTCATGCTAAGAAGGCGTCGATTCCCACTTTTGCAAAACGTAATTACGACAAATTCATTGTTATTTGAATGACAAAATCTGAAAGACAGTTTCATGAAGATTCAGTTTCGAAGATACCATTACTTATAAATCTACAACCAGAACCTAGCTTTTAGTTAACGTTTGCATCTAAGAGCAGTGATTTCAAGGATTTAACTAGTGAGATTCACGTTTAAATAATCAGAAAGATAAACAAAACCTAGTTAAAGTCACCTAGACTACCCTTCATATTCCAAAAATGCTTACAATTAAGTCCTTCGGGATCCTTTTAATTTCGAGATTACCAAACCTCATAAATGCTAGGTAAGCAGTCAACGAGCACAATTATGCCTCGTTAGAAAAGCTTAACTAGAAACCGTTTATCCTAATCATGGGAATACTTTCAGCTTAACGTCCTGTTTGCTCCTATCGGTCTTCGGTATGATAGTCGTTGGTAGTGAGGAAATGCTTCAACGGTAAAGACCTTATACAAATCAGTAGGGTTAGTGAGGATTCCTTAAAATAGGTACTACTATCGATTCTCCTTAGCATGGGTGTTCCCATTACCAACTTTAGCTTTACGTTTTGTAGGATGATTGAGTCTGTTGGAAATTTAGACTCGTTGGTTCATGTCAAAGAATTCAGGAATCAAAATAACCCATAGTGTCATTGAATAAGAAAAAGAGAATTCAGCGAAGAAAATTTTCTTTTCGAATGTACAGCTAAAGTAAATGATTTCGTCTAAAAGAAAATTTTCTTCGCTGAATTCTCTTTTTCTAATTCCGGAATCTTATAAAAGTTGATAATAGTCGTGATAGATCACCGGTCTTATTTCTGTGCCCCATTGATGCATCTATACTTTTTACCATTATCACAGACAATAACAGAAAACACGGTTTTGCAAGAATCTTGAAGGATAGACTTATGGTGAGACCATATCCCTAGAGAATTGTCCACTGCCTCGGACGTTCTAAATTTGCTACATGGGGGATAAACATTAGCATTCAACATACTGCCCCATTGATATTCATTGTGAATGTCCTAGTTAGAATCTTCCCGCGCTTTAGGGTGGTGAACCTAAGAAGCATAAATTCTGTTTTGCGTACAGGCCGCGTAACATGACTAATTTCATGTTTTTCTTTAGATTGGCTGAATCAGATAACCTAAACAATAGACTTAGTATTAGCTTTCAGTTCGACTTGAAGGATACTTTTCTGTTTAATTTTACTGTTTATTACGAAGTGACATGAGCGAAAGAATAGCATACTGAAGATACCTGAATGTGGGAAATATGCCATATACCTTAGGCTACATAGTCCGGATAGCAGTTGCGGTCCCCTCCCCACAGAGTTTTCAATACAGTGTCTAAGTATGTGAATAGTTGACTGTAATTACCAGATCAAAGCGCATATTTCGAACACGAACTACGGTTCACAGCTTTGAGACAACTAAATCAAAGTCACATTGGATGTCAAAGCAGCACTTACAGTCATCCCTAAGTCGTTACTGCCTCAACCATGAAAAATTTTAACTAGGCCATCAAACAAAAAGAATGATAAAGCAGATGGTGGACAAGCTTGAGCACTGGAATTAGATAAAAATTGAAGAAAAGAAGATATTGTTCATTTGCTTTTAGAAAGATTTCGGTGTGAGAACTACAGCGATATCATACTACATTCAGAGCCAAATAAATTTTCCGACGTAATATTATGGGACAGAATGAAAAATCCATGAGATATCCAACTTCGAAACCAATAGACTGGATTCTTTCAATATGGAGAAACATTTACCAGGGTGGGTAGGAGAAACTTATGGATTCCTTTAGAAACTACAGACTGACTAAAAAGGTTTTCACTGTCTTGAAGAATTCTTTCCAGGGCCTCGAGACGTTCAAGAAAGGCAGCTCAAAGATCCATTTGAAGATAAATCGAACAAGACTATTTAATCTATCATTTTTTTCCTAAGGTCGCTGAATGCATTGTGAAGATCTCCACATTTCAGAAGATGCACGGAGTACAGTAGATAACGTAGATACAGTTAAGCGATTTTAGCCTCCAGAAAAAATTGCCCTTATACCCGCACTCAGAAGTAAATAAAAGCGACAACGGGTGCAGCAACAAGATGGCACACAAATCGAGAATCAACCAAGTCGCACTTCATGGTAAATCTCTGAATCAAATGAAAGTCTTTTTGTAGCCAGGCAGCATAATTAACTAGGTGAACTAGACGTGAAGGCACAAAATGACAAAGCAAGATGGTAGTTTTCAAAACTAAAAACATCTGGAGCTCTAAATAATTGTTACCAAAAATTGAAAATTTGTCACCAAAGTCAAACTGTTCTACTGTAATATGACAAAACATGAAGAACTAAAGCAATAATTATTCATAAACTACTCGTATTTCTAAACAGATATCCATGACGGAAACCTCAGATCGATTGTCTGTAGTTTATCACTACCAACACAAGATATCTATTCGGATGAAATTAGAATACAGTCGATGTGAGTAAAACGTACATTAAGGAAAGCATTATTCTGTATCACAAGACAAGTCCGAACTTGATATCCTCAACGTTAAAAGAGAAAAGGAAAACCGAAAACATATTGCGCTTAAAATCAGAATGAGACATCGAAAAATGAGTGTTGCTTGGCAAAAAATGGTGGAAAGAGCCTTCGGCAGAATGTGCTAGAAATTCCAAGTCCGCAGCAAATGCGGCAAAATACGTTAACAGTTTATTAATTTGCCAATTGAATAACTATTTTCTTTACGGTATCGAAGTGATTTCTCTGCTTTTTAGAACTTCGTTTCTAGTTTATGCAGAGAACTTTTCTCTCAGACAAGTGCCTAGTTGGCATGGTAAAATGAACTGATGGTTAACGTTTCGTCTTAATATATGTGTAGGAAAATATAAATTTTAGAAATACATACTTCTGTAAGTCCTCGACATTGATTCTTACCTCATTAATTCTATTCGAGACACCCTGGCTAAAGGCGCTCGGTCACTCATCCGGACCAGATCGTGAGTGGTTACACCATGATACTCATCCGTTGCAACTACTAAGCAAATTAGATGAAACACCTCTCGAAGCATCGAGAGCTTCACAAATGTATCTTTGAACCCCCTCATTTCTGACTTTTGATTTGACTGGATTGGTATCTTTCGATTCCAAAGACGTGATACAATGGCCCAGTTTATCGATGTTTCAGGAAACACTTCTCGACTGCTGATCGGATTAATTATTTCTAGGCGTTTTCTGGGTCTCCCGATACTTGGTTGACGAATATTTTTAGCCTATTAGAAAGCCCTTGATGGTAAGCAACGTCTTAGAATTACTAAGTTTAGTCACATTAATCACAGTTTCGCGTTATATTGTCACTCGTCGAGTATATCATGAAACCTCACGATAAGTTTCAGAACATTCCCATGGGTGACTCAATGGTAGTCACGTGAGTAATAAACTTTTTTTGGCCTATGTTAAAATATTCATCTACAAACGGAGTACCTAAGCACGGTGATGTACATCAGAAATTGCATGTTGCATCTTTTCGTAACTGTAAGAATACAAAAAATGCTTTACGTCTGGTCTTTTGAGCATACCCTTTCTAACTACTATTATTATTATTACTACTATTTACATTCCTTGTTAAATACCCATTTCAGAACAAGAAAGTTTATTATGTTTTTTGTAGTTGATAAGAATTTCAGGTCACTTTGTTTCCTCAAGATTACGTTGGCCTTAATAACAACTTGCAAGTGAATGATGCAAAATCCATTTTAAATATAGTTCTTTAAAGGAAGTTTCTTACGAACAGTTGGAAATTTATATGAATACTACGATGAGTGTGCTAATCAGATATTGCCACTTTGCTTTATAAAACTTGAATACATCGAAATTTACAAAAAATAATCTTAAGGTGTTAGCAAAGATCCAACTTATAAAACAAGAAGATAGAAGCGGGTGAAAACAGCATGCCAATATAAGTAGTATAGCTGCTGATTATTTAAACGTGTTACTACAGACAATGTTGGAAATGGACAATCAGTCATGTTTGCTAAATACGAATCAAGAAAACCAAATAAGATGCGAATGACAGCGTTAATTTGAGTTATGATGTCAGATATAACGTGTACTCAAACACGTGTTTTAGTTTATACCTGTCTTATAAAGGTCAACAGTAAACGTGTTACGGGAGGACTAAATACATTTGGCTGAATAAAACTTTTGTATTAAATATTATTAATTTCACTAATTTTGGATGTATTTGTTTCACTCAACTTCCGAACTTGTTTGGTTATATTGTATTGACTCACTTTTATCACGAGAACACGACTGGTTTAATAAAAACAATCATTATTACAACCAATTGTACCAGTGATCGTTTTAATGTGCCTTTGTTTGACTGTGCTAATGACAGCTATATCGTGCTTCCATTCTTGTTCTTACACTTCGATTGTAACTTCGCGCGAGTTCGGTTACCTTCTGTAGCCAAGCTTGCATCCTGGCACGATCTCGGTATCCTTTCGATGCCACGAGATCGCCAGCAAATAAACATCGACTTGGTCCATTAATTGCCTTCTGATATTTGGCTTCTCGGGAGATTTTAT